GTTTGACAAAGAGTTAACTTTGTTGATACCAGGTTCGGATTTTGGTTCCGGGAGTTGGAATAGGTCCGTTGTGTCATTTATGACTTGTGTGCAAAAATTAAGGTCAGTTAGAGTTTTTTTGATATTTCAACATTGGATTTAGAAGTTGGAAGTTGATTAGTTTCATTAGGCTTGAATTGAGATGTGATTCCTGATTTTGTTGTTGTTTGATGTGATTTGAGCCTTCGATTAAGTTCGTGTTGTGAGTTAGGAATTTTTGGTATGTTTGGTTGAGGTCTGGGGGGCCTCGGGCGAGTCATGAATAGTAATGGATGGATATTGAAGTTAGAGCATTGCTGAAGATATGTGGATTACTGGTGTAACCGCACCTGCGGTGGGCTTGGCCGCAGGTGCAACATTGCAGGTTTGGCTGGAGGAACGCAGAAGCGGAAAGGGGATGGCTATGGGAGTATCATTGTTGCGAAGAAGGACCGCATCTACGAGTCTGTAAATGAGGATTTTGTGTCGTAGATGCGGAGAAGAATGGCCTGGGGTTGCACCACAGATGCAGAAGAACTTTCGCAGGAGCGGACGCGCAAAAGCGCGAGGAGAACCGTAGAAGCGGACCCGAAGAAGCAGTATTTGGCTGCAGAAGCGGCAGGTCGGAGTTTAATTGACATCGCAGAAGTGTGATTTTTCCGCAAAAGCAGGAGCACATAAGCGAAGAATTTGACCGCAGGTGCAATTTTGCTGGTCAGAACATAAATGTCGAAGGGTTTGGCATTTCTCTCATTTTTAGAGTTGTGGAGCTCGGCTATGGGCGATTTTCGAGATGAATTTTACTATAATTCAAGAGGTAAGTGACTTTTATCACTTTTGTTCATAAATATAGAATACCATTGATTCTTACACCTAGATTATATATGCTTGAGGTAAAGTTTGGGGTTTTTGGACTATATATTGGAGAGTGAGCTTTGTAGATTTGAGGGTTGATTTGTGGTCGAAATTGGATGATTTTAGTATGGTTGGACTCATTATTGAATGGGTGTTCAGAATTTATGAATATTGTGGGGTTCTGAGACGTGCGCCCGGGTTCACTTTTTTATTTTGGTTAAAGATCTTAGCCTTATCTAATGGAATCGTTTCCTATAGCTTGTATTGATTATATTAAGTTGTTTGTTACTAGATTCGAGTCGTTCGGAAGCCGATTCGCGAGGCAAAGGCTTGTTGGAGCATTGAGTTGCACATTTTGAGGTAAGTAACACTTCAAAACTTGGAACTAAGGGTATAAATCCCTAGAAAATGTGATATGTGGTTTGTGTTGGGGTGACGCACATGCTAGGTGACGGGCGCGTGGGCGTGCACCGTCATAATCATGATCCGGGTGGATTCTTATACTGTGTTGATATCAAGTCTTGTTTTATCCGTGTAATTCCTACATGTTAGAGTAATTGAGTTGTGATTCATGTTAGAAATCATGTTTAGGCTATATGCTTTTTTGATGGAGACCTACTGAGATTATTTGTGGTATTTTGAGTTATTTGCTTTAACGGTCATTATGTACTCAGTCATGATCGTTCATTTGCATATCATATCTCAGTCTGTATTATCATTCACTGTTACATCACATTTTATGATTGTTTGGGCTAAGTAATACGAGGTTGTGAGCCTGGAGACTTGAGAGACTGATGACTGAAGTGGGCCTGAGAGCCGGGTTGTGAGTGTTATGGTGGATCGGGTTGCACACCGCAGTAGGCCTTATTGTCTCATTTGTTATTGTTGATCGGCAAGCATGTTGCAGTAGGTCTTATAAGCTTTATATTAGAGTTTGGGCAAGATCCTTCACTCTAGAGTCTGACATACTAGCAGTGAGTGCAGGCACAGTGATATATACACATGCTTTGGTGAGGGGCATTGATGCCAAGCACCCGTACAGTGTTGAGTGATTATGTGTGTGATCAGTGGATATTTTAGATAGACAAATTGAGTGCTTTAAGGGTGTGAGTACCTGCAAATATTACTGTGATACCTTACATTTGACATGCATAGTTGACATGTAGGCATTGAGATGTACCATTCCTCATGCTAGCTATATTTGACATGTTCTTATCAGTGTTAGTCTTTACTTGTGAACTTGAAAGCATGTATAAATGTATGTACTATGAACGGGCTGAAGATGATAGTTTCTCCGAGTTATTTACTGTCATTGTCATTATCTTACATGTGTTGTCATTATATTGGTTTTGACTGTATCCTTCTAAACTCATCACTACTTTCAGCTCAAGGTTAGACTTGATTCTTATTGAGTACATTGGGTCGGTTGTACTCATACTATACTCTGCTTACGTTTGCAGATCTTGGTACATCTAGATGTGGTGATTGCTAGATCGTTGTGTGTACTTGCTTAGAGACTTCAAGGTAGCTGCTATGACGTTCGCAGACCTTGACTCTTTTTCCTTTTATTTTCTTCAGTACTGTTCTATTATTCAGACAGTTGTACGAGAGTTTGGATTCATGTCGATACTTAGTAGTGCTCATGTAATCGTTGACACCTGGTTTTGGGATGGTTGTAGTAGTGTTTTAGTTTTTTTCCCCAGATATTTATGATATTTTTCGTTGTTGAGTTTAATAAAAAATGTTTTATTCAAGGCAAAATACATAGTTTATCCATTGACCTTGCACTCACATTTATGTTACATACCTCTCCTCCACGGGCAACCTTTTACACACCCAACCTTAGTAGAGTGTGTCTAAGACACACCACTTTGCCCACATGGTTAGTGCGTATCTTTACCATCAAATGAAGCGCGTGAACAGGAGAACTTTCGTATCAGATGTTAATTTTTTAGTTTTTGTATAATTTTAAATAGGGTCATCTTCTTCCATGTTTAAAAACCACCAAACCTACCATGGCTGCTTCTTCACACTTAATTAGACCCACTTCTCTCCACCCGATCTACTCTTCTCAAATAGATCCACTAAGATTTTTCATATCTCTTCTTGTTCGTCATTAGTCTTTAGTTTTGTAAATTTTTTTGTTAAGAAATTATAATCAAAATTCAACAATTAAATTCTTTGTAGCTCCAACAACCATTAAAGCTTGGCTAAATTGTACGTACAGAAAATTCTTTTCTTTTCTAGAAAAGATTAGCTTGAGCTTTTGTCATGGTTAAGTTAAATTTTTCGAAACGGTGAATTTTTCAAAAATATCTCCATCCATTAAAGCTTACCTCAAGTTTTTGCAAATAAGCATATTCTTTAAATTTGTTAATGGGTAAATTTACAAATAATAAAATTGTAAAATTCTTAATCTTCTTCGCTAAAAAATGCACATTCCTCTTTATTATTACTACCTTGCTGCTTTAGTTGTGGAAATCGAAAGAGCAAGAAATTGAAAGCATGATGATGACAGTTTTAGTGGACAGGATGAAGAAGATATGGATATAATTGTAATTTTATGTGCTATCTTTTTATTATTAGTCAGTCACACGTGCCAGGACTTTATTGGCACGTGACAATACACATGCTTTGAAAATCTAGTGAAGAAAAAGTGGTGTGTCTTAGACACACTCGACAAAGGTTGGGTGTGTAAAAGGTTGCCCGTGGCGGAGAGGTGTGTAATAGGGATTTAGATGCAAGGTTGATGGGTAAACTATGTATTTTACCTTTATTCAAATGTTTAGCTTTTATGTGATTGTTGGCTTGCCTAGCAAGTGTGTTAGGCGCCATCTCGATAGGTTGAGATTTTTTGGTCGTGACAAATATAATATATCTTGAATAAAAATTGTATAATTCTTAATTCTTGTGATAATACATTTTATATGTATTGAACGGACCAAGTAGAGATAAGTATTTTATACTGACAAAATAAAAATAATACTCTAATCTATTGAATATACTTATACTCTTAATCTTCATATAGTTATTATAGCTGTGCATATTATTTATTATTTTAATTCATTAAAATCGAGAATCTTTTATTGATCAACATGCCTGGTAAATTGGACAATTAAGATATACAGTGGCGAAGAAATAATTAATTGATGGAATCTATGTTCGGTATAGATATTGATTAAACACCTTTATGGAAACTTATAAGTTTTCGTGTGCGAATCCAGCGGGTTGATCTTGTTTTCAATAAATAAAATAAGTTAAATAAAAGTCTAAAAAATATTCAATAAATTAGATTTTTAGTAATTTTATTTCATTGATTAGTATCTGAATTTTAACATGGGAAGTTAATAAGTTTTAATAAATTTTTTTTAAAGTAAACTAAGGAGTGCGATTAGAATTATTACTTGAATAAGATATAATTTATTATGGCAGATATTAATTTTGAATTAATTCCATAATAAGAAGACTTGTTCATTAAATTATGTGATCTCTACTGTGTCTGAATAAATACAAATTATACAGAAAATATTTTCTTGGTGGAAAATAAAACCAAACAGGTTTTGAAAAAGGATTTTAATTGTCATGACCCATAAAACATCACAGGATCGTCATACGCCTAACATCTGCTTGTTAGGTGAGCCCCTAGCAACAACAACAACAACAACAACAACAAGAAATCTAGTGTATTCCTACAAGTGGGAACGGATGAAGGTAGTGTGTAGCAGACCTTACCCCTACCTTTAGGAAGCTAGAAAGATTGTTTTAGTAGACCATTGATTAGGAAAGATAAAGGAAAAAGTCAATGATAAGCGAATCAATTGAAAATACAAAACTAAGACTAAGTAGTGCAATTAGAAAACCGAAGCGAAGGAAACAACAAGTAATACCAGAAGTCTAGGAATATGAAAATACACGAAAGACGCTAAGTTATGTATTATATCTACTATGACAAACAACGACATCATTCGGCTACCTAACCCTCTACCCTAAATCTCAACCTCCACACCTTTCTATCCATGGTCATGCCCCCAGTAAGCTGGAGCAACGCCATATCCTGCCTAATTACCTCTCCCCAATACTTCTTCTACCTGCCTCTACCTCTTCGTTAGCCCTCAAAGGCCAACCTCTCACGTCTCCTCACTGGTGCATTTGTGCCTCTCCTCTTCACATGCCCTGAACCATCTAAGTCTCGCCCCATGCATCTTGTCCTCCATAGAGTCCATGCCCACCTTCTCCCGGATAACTTCATTCCTTTTTTGTAATCCGGTGTTCCCGCACATCCATCTCAGCATCCTCATTTTAGTTTGCTTCATCTTCTGGACAGTTGTTGGTTGGCCATACTCCGCCCCACACAACGTAGCCGGTTTGACCAGCGCTCTATAGGAATTCCCTTAAAGTTTTGGTAGCACATTTTATCACATAGAACACCGAAAGCAAGCCTCCATTTCATCCATCCCGTCCCAATACGATGCGTGACATCCTTGTCGATCACCCCATTCCCTTGTATAACTCACCCAAGTGTAACAATCTGGCCGATTATTTTGTGTATTTGAGCCCTGTTTCCCTATTTGATGTTCCTCGATGTGTATTTTTTTTATTATGTGACTTGCGAGAATGAGTGGTATAGTTTCGAGGAGGTTTTGGATTGAATTGGAACACTTAGTTCATAGTTCGGAAGCTTAAGTTGAAAATATTGACCAACTTTGACTTTTGTGTATTTGACCTCGGATCGAAGTTTTGATAGTTCTGTTAGGTTTGAATTGTAATATTGGACTTAGGGGTACGCCCAGATTTGGATTCGGAGGTTCCTTTGATTGATTTGGCTCTAATTGGCAAAAGTTGGAAGTTCGAAGGTTTAAAAGTTCATGGGTTTGACCCATAGTTGACTTTGTAGTTACCGATCATCAAGTGCTGCTCATGCTCCTCCCGACTATGAGAATATGCCAATATGTCATCAATGAACATGCTGATGAAGGAATCTAGATATGGTTGAAACACGTTGTTCATCAAGTGCATAAAGGCTTCTAGGGTGTTAGTTAACTCAAAGGACATTACCAAAAACTCATAGTGACCATAGCGGGTCCTAAAAGCTATCGTCGAAATGTCGTAATCCTGGATCTTCAACTGATGATATCCCAATCTCAGGTCAATATTCGAGAACACCTTAGCACCTTGAAGCTGATCAAACAAATCATTAATATGCGGTAGTGGGTACTTATTCTTGACTATAACTTTATTCAGCTGTCGATAATCAATACACATCCGCATATTGTCGTCCTTCTTCTTCACAAATAGAATTGCAGCACCCTAAGCGAAACACTAGGGGCAATGAAACCCTTATCAAGCCACTCCTGAAGTTGTTTCTTCAATTCCTTTCACTCCACTGGTGCCATGCGGGGCAATAAAGATTGGCGAAGTGTCCGGCACCAAGTCAGTACCAAAATCGATGTCCCGACCAGGCGGAATGCCTGATGGATCTGCTAGGAACATATCTGGGAAGTCTCTCACTACAGAAACTAACTCAAAGGTAGGAGTATCAGCACTAACATCCCTCACGAAGGCTAAATATATGAAGCACCCCTTCTCGACCATCTGCTATGCCTTCAGAAAAGACACCACCCTACTGGGAACATGACTCAATGAACCTCTCCACTCTAACTGTGGTAAACGAGGCATCTCCAACGTCACAGTCTTAGCGTGACAATCTAGAATAGAGTGATATGGTGACATCCAATCCATGCCCAAAATAACATCAAAGTACACCATGTTGAGTAATAGAAGGTCTACCCTAGTCTCATAACCCCTGATAGAGACCACGCACGAGCGATAAACACGATCTACCACAATAGAATCTCCCACGGGCGTAGACACATAAATAGGGGCACTCAAAGAATCACGAGATATATTCAGATATGAAGCAAAATAGGATGACACTTATGAATAAGTGGAACTTAGATCAAATAAAATCGAGGCATCTATCTCTATGGAAAACCGAAATAATACTTATGATGACAGCATCATATGGCTCTCCCTCAAGTCTAGCTGGAAATCCATAGAAATGTGGTTGAGCCCACCAGTCTGACCTTCGCCTCTCGGTAGACCCCTCACTACCTGACCTATGCCTCTAATGGCCTGACCACTACCTCGGGCTTCCTAACCCCGCCTCTAGCTGGCTGTGCAGGTGGTGGAGCAACCGATGCCGGAACAATAGCACGAGTACTCTGTTGTGCCATGTTGCTTTGTGACCTAGGGCGAAACCTCGCAACATGACTCGGATCTCCACAACTATAACAAGTCCTCGACTGCTGTGACTGCTCACCTTGGAACTGACCCTGTCTACCTGATATGCACCCTGAGAACTCTGAATTGGAGGTGCATTGACCGGAGCTAAAGGTGCACTCTAGGCTAGCAGCTAAGAATGAGACCCATGAGGACCCCGACTACCCAAAACACCGTGGGATACCTGAAACGCTAACTGAATCGTCCTGTTATAATAGCCTCTACCATTAGTTCCTTCAGCGTGTTAAGTAATACACATGATTACAGTAATGCGTGCGAGGTTTGATGGTCATTGTAATTGATTTTATTTGGAGGCTTTCGAGTATTATGGCCTATTATGTGCAGATGGATCCCGGAAGAGTTATAGTGGTTTAGACCACTACTTGAGGATTTACATGTCCTACGGTTATGAGAAGTTACTCGCGTGTTGCCATGGTTCTCTTGGAATGAGTTAAGTAAAACTTTTCTAGGTGATGAAGTGTTTACCATATTAGTGGTTCAGGAGTTATGATGAACTTCTTATACTGTCGCATATTAGCAAGTTAGGTGTAGTGAGCGGCATGAAAATTTAAAGTGAGGAACTGAGGTTGCAGTTTGGTGTTTGAAAGGATGTCACGAGCTCGGATGAGCAGGAAAAAGGGACTTGAATGCTTAGAGTAAGCCAGTATGATCCTAAGCGTCACCTGAGATCGATATTTTGTGAAAGAGGCTCTGCAATCTTGTTATAGATTCTTGATGTGCTTTACAACGTTAGTGCGACCGGTGGTATGGATGTGCAGACACGTTAGCTGGTGCGGTGAAGGTCTTGGGAGCATGTCTCATGGGAAGATTGTATAAGTGTGACATGTAGCCACCTGCTTGACTGAAGATTTAAACCAAGTGTGAAGATTGTGGTAATAGTGCAAATTTGAGAATTTATGCCCGAAGGGCGCACGGTTCATTTGGTTGTGGACTGTGAGAGTTTGTTTTGTTTGTGATGGTTGTTCTTGTGTATTATGGAATAAAGGGGTTATAATGAACTCTTGAAAGGTTATTAGCCTAACATGGTGCGATCAGAATCATCTCGAGGTCGATGGATAGATTTAAATATGAATATAAGTTCTATATTAGGCCAGATGTGTTCATTTCAGCATAACACTCCTTATGGAGGAGTATTCACACGTTGGATGTTATTTCAAATGCTATATTGTGCTATATTGTGCCGTGTGAGTTGCCAAATGGCTTGATAAATTTCTTGTGTGTTGAGGTTCCGCGTAGCAATGGTGTTACGTGAGCAGGATGGCTCTTGAGATTCAGATCATATATCGCACTTCAGTTGTGCTTGAGTTTTGTAGCTTATGGAGCTATCTGTCTTCCAGGGATGGTATTATGCACTTAGCGTGCTTGTGGCCGATATTCGGTATTTTGTAGTAATGAGCAATTTTGCTCGGTGTGTATCTTCTTATGTGAATTTAATGTGTGGATCGGGTGGCACGCCGCCACGGGTATGTTGTTTGGATCGGGTTGCACGCCGCGACAGTGTGATGATGAGTACAGTTCCCTATATCTATTTTTGTGTGTTTTGTTTCCCATTTTCTGAGGAAAGTTCATATTTGTTACGCGAGTTGAGTAGTCCCTTCCAGAGTTCGTTTTCCTTATGTATCACGTTCGAGTTTGTGGCCTATTGGCACGTTTTGGCATCATATGGGACTTTTGATCATGACCGGGGTGGCTTATTGACTGAGCAGTTCGTACTGGGTGAGACGAGATTATTGGATCTAGGATCAGTGCAGTCGGATTATATGAAGTATATTAAGAGCAAAGGTCATTATTTGGTTCAGAATGAGGTAATGATTCTTGTCAAAAGTATAGACTCAATGATTTGTTGACTCGGCATTTGGTTATGAATTTCTGCACATCTCTTCCGTCGTGGTAGTATCGCGAGAGTTGGAACAAGACTTAAATATTTCATGAGGTGCATTGTGAGATCAAATTCAGGGAATGGCGGTTATTATGATAAAAAATGTTATTATGGTCCTGTGAATGATGTGGTGCATGGTGAAAGGCATGCAGTCATGTTCTGGTACCTCGTGTAGTGATTAATACGGTGTTCATATATTGGAAACAGGCCTGGCAGAGAATTCCGGATGTTGGAATTGGGCTCTAAGCTAATTTGCCTGAATAAAAGGGAATATCTTCATAATTGATCGAGCTAATGTGCTCAGCTGGGTTGTAGAAGCACGGGTAGGTGCACGAGGTGCTAAACAGTGATTTCGGATAGCTCCAGCACAGTTCTTAGCATTTTTTAGGGCAAACGTATGTTTAAGTGGAAGAGATTGTAATGACCCGACCGGTCGTTTGGAGCTCTAGCGCCTCGTTCAGCAGTTTGAGACCCTGAGTAGCTTCACTTCAGGTATTATGACTTGTACGCATGGTCGGAATTGAATTCTGGGAAGTTCGGGGTTGATTTGGAAAGAGAATTCTCATTTCGGAAGATTAAAATTGAAATAATTGACTAAGATTGAATTTTTGAGTAAACGACCTCGGAATCGAGATTCGAAGGTTCCAGCAAGTTCGTATGATGATTTTGGAATTGGGCATTTGCCCAGATCGGGTTTTGGAAGAACCGGGAACGTTTCGGCACCTATTGTGGAAGTTAGCATTTTTGGAAGAATTTCATAAGTTTGGATTGAAGTTCATTTCAGTATTATTTATGTCTGTTTGGGATTTCGTGTCTGGGAATAGCTCCGTATGGTGATTCTAGTGTTGGGAGCGCGATCAGAAATGAATTCGGAGGTCCGTGGATCATTTTGGAGTCATTTGGCTAAAGATAAAAATTTGAAGGATTTTGAGGAGTTTGACCGGAAGTGGACTTTTTGATATCGGGGTCGGAATCTAATTCTGGAAGTTGGAATAGGTCCGTAATGTCAAATATGACTTGTGTGCAAAATTTGAGGTTAATCGGACGTGATTTGATAGGTTTTGGCATCGAATGTAGAAGTTTGAAGTTCTAAAGTTCATAAAGTTCGAATTGGGGGGTGATTCGTGATTTCGACGTTGTTTGATGTGGTTTGAGGCCTTGAGCAGGTCCGCATTATATTATGGGACTGGCTGGTATGATTAGTCGGGTCCCCGAGAGCCTCGGGTGGATTCCGGATGGTTAAGGGATCAAATTTGGAATTTGAAGAAGGATTTCAGCAGATGGTATTTGGTGTAACCGCACCTACGAGGTTTTGGCCGCAGGTGCGGAGCCACAGAAGCGGCTAAAGGAGCGCAGATGCGGTCAAGTTGCCGCGGAAGTGGGACCGTACCTGCGGAAGGAGGAGCACAAAAGCGGAAGAAGGGGGCCTGGTGAAGGACCGCAGATGCGGTAGTGGGGCCGCACCTGCGGAACTGCAGAATCGATCAAGTGACCGCAGGTGCGGAAGGGCTGGAGGTAGTGAGTTGTTTTAAAGTCGGGATTGGGACATTTTCTTTCATCTTTCTCTTGGCTTGGATGATTCTTGGAGGGTTTCAAGAGAGGGTTTTCATCATCAATGGCAAGGTAAGTAGTTCCCACTCTTTATAAGTCAAATGCATGAATGTTATACGGATTAAAGTAAGGAAATTAGTAGAAATATGGGATTTTGAGGGAAAACCTAGAAAATTAATATTCTTGGAATTTGACCACGATTTTGGACAGGAAATTGAAAGTAAATTATATGTGAGCTCGTGAGGTTATGGTAAACTTTATCTTCGAAAAATATCGGAATCCGGGCATGTGGGCCCGAGGGCTTTTTTGTCAACTTTTCTATCGGGGTTAGGAATTGTTATAAATTGGATTATTATGAGTAATTGAACATATATTAATGGATTTGCATAATTATTGGCTAATTTTGGAGCATTGTGCATCAATTTGAGTCTTCGAAAGGGCGTGGAATGCCGGTTATGGAGCTTCAGAGCGAGGTGAGTCTCCTTTCTAACCTTGTAAGAGGGAATTGTCCCCATATGTGAGTTAATTGGTTATGTGC